ATGTATATATATATATATATGTATATATATATATATATATATATGTATATATATATATATATATATATATATATATATAAATTGTACTCCATGTGCTTAAAAGGGCAAGTTTTCCTTAGTGTAGATTAAAAAAAAGTTGTGATTCGTGCACACCTTTAGTTTCTACATCATGAGCTATATATTGACTAACAGCTGAGTTTGGTGGATTTCCCTGTCAGTTTTGTTGAAGCTTGAACATTCAGGCTATTGTTGATGCTCTGAGGGGAACAAATGGACTGATTCACTAACTGTGCACTGGGGTTGGGTGGGTTCTGTCGTAGACGCAAGGTAACGTGGAAATCCCTGCTGAACCACGGGCTCCATCTGAGAAAGTAAGACACGTTACCATCCACTACTATTTTTGTTTCATTTTCAGTACTGCAGCTTTTTGACGGGGTTTGGAGGTTTAAGTTTGGGGGTAGGAGGTGGTGGTGTCGGGGGGGTGGAGGAGTTTTGTTGAATGTTTATAACACAATGATTTAATTAAAATAGCACATTGCATCTTTTTCTGTTGGGTTTTGGAGATGGTTTTAAACACACACGTACCATTTTAGATCAATTCAAGCGTTCTTTAATTTCATGACTGGCACATGAACAACCAAAATGTGTGACACAGGTTACTGATATAATAAAGGAAAGAGTTTTATTCATATTTATAGCATTTTATGTAACGAGTAGTTTGGTGCTTGACCTGTCACTCTAATAACATTTTATTAAGGTTTTCAGTTCAGTAAGTGCACTTTAGAGCTCATGCAAGAAAAAACTAATCCAAACTGCACAGTCTAACAACTATAACCTCACTGTAACTGAAACTGACAACCAATTGTTCTTACAGATCATACAAGTTATTTTAGCTGCATCTTCACTTTTAAACACAGGCGAGCAGAAAAAAAAAAGAAATTTAGAAAATGAAAAATATTCTGCACCAATACGCATCAATATTTAGTTGTTATAATTAGATGGAACTTCATTGAAGGTCACAAGATGGTTATCAGACTGTGTGGCTTCAAAAACCACTGTCAGTCCATCTTCATTTATTTATATATTTATCTATCTATCCACAGCTACCTGTGGTGATGCGTGTCCCGCGGTTCTCGGCCTGGGCTCAGAACCTGTGTGGGATGCAGTTCTCCATTCTTGGTTATGGAGATATCATTGTACCAGGTGAGATATATATATATATATATAAATGTCACCAACAGCTTAAACACCAGTAACTGTACCAAAATGTACAGAGGTACATTTTAACCACAGTGTTTCCCCTAAATAACTTGCCATGGCGGGGCGCTCATCTGGTCCGTGATTTTTGTTCGCGCGCGCGGGGGGTGACGGACAGAGACACGTCCTAAGCTGCGCAGCGCGCTGTTTAAACCAACAGTTTTAGAGCAGGGTGTGTGAGAGGAGAGAGACGGAGACATATCTCAGCCGCGCGCTGTCTGAACTGACAGTCTTTTTTTTTTTTTAAATTATTTTTTTGGCGGGTGGGGAGAGACAGAGACACATCTGAGCCGTGCACTGTTTGTACTGACAGTTTTTGAGTGGCGGGGGTGTGTTCAGCGTGAGGGTTCAACATGAAGGAAGAGGCTGTCTTTAGCTTTTTAGCTAGCACACCTGCATTGCGAGCCGCTAGTTTAGCGTTACGTCAGTGTCAGCAGGTGGGTGGGGTATGGTAGACGGGGCGCTCAGGTCTGTTGACGGGGCGGGGCGCTCCGCTTGTATAATGGTAGGGGAAACACTGAACCAAATGTTGTAACTTCTCCAGCTACATCATATAGTTGCATTTTTCTCTACTCGTTCCCACCCTCTGCATTGTCCATGCACCGGCAGGTCTCCTGGTGGCGTATTGCAGCAGGTTTGATGTTTGGGTCAACAGCAGGAAGAAGATCTACTTCATCAGCTGCTGCATCGGTACGCTGCACCTCACTTATTCACCTGTGTGTGTGATGTAATAGTGTTTATCTCCCATGTATGTTACATTTTTTTCATAAATTGTTTTGCTTATGAACTGTAAATCTTTTTGTTAGCTTCATACCAAGATTTTTGGTTTCACAGTTGAACCTTTTTGCACTCATACTGCCAATTCTTTTTCATGACCACTTAAATTCACATTTTTAACTTCTCTTTGTCCTGGTGTTTGTTCATCTCCATCAATCCCTGTAGCCTATTTTCTGGGAATGATACTGACGTTTGCCGTGATGCTGCTGTCAGGGATGGGCCAGCCAGCTCTGCTCTACTTAGTGCCTTTTACCTTGATAACCTCTGCTGTGGTGGCTGGGTGCAGGGGAGAAATGAAGCAGTTCTGGTCTGGAACCACCTATGAGGTGAGAAGAGCAGAGGGAAAATAAATAATTTAATGCATAATGTCCTATGAGTTTTTTTGTTTTTTTTTGCCAGCTGAGTTGAGTTGTTTCAGTGCTTTCAAATAGACTTTGCTATTTTTCATTTGGCAAGTTTTTCACGAGTGCTTTCCACAAGCTCAACCCACAACTGTGGAACTATTTAAGGGGAAATTAATAGGCTTACTTCGTATGCTATAGGATTTGTTGCCAATAAGCATTGCTTCTACAAATAAATACCGTAATTGCTGTCTATAGAATGCACCTGACTGTAAGCCGCACATACTAAATTTGACATGAAACACAATTTTGTACACACATTGCCTTGCGAACGTATTTGGCCCCCTTGAACTTTTCAACCTTTTGCCACATTTCAGGTTTCAAACGTAAAGATATAAAATTTAAATTTTTGTGAAGAATCAACAACAAGTGGGACACAATCGTGAAGTGGAATGAAATTTATTGGATGTGTCAAACTTTTTTAACAAATAAAAAACTGAAAAGTGGGTCGTGCAATATTATTCGGCCCCCTTGCGTTAATAATTTGTAGTGCCGCCTTTTGCTGCAGTTCCAGCTGCAAGTCTCTTGGGGTATGTCTCGTATCAGTTTTGCACATGGAGAGACTGAAATTCTTGCCCATTCTTTGCAAAACAGCTCGAGCTCAGTGAGGTTGGATGGAGAGCGTTTGTGAACAGCAGTCTTCAGCTCTTTCCACAGATTCTCTATTTGATTCAGGTCTGGACTTTGACTTGGCCATTCCAACACCTGGATACGTTTATTTGTGAACCATTCCATTGTAGATTTGGCTTTATGTTTTGGATCATTGTCTTGTTGGAAGATAAATCTCCGTCCCAGTCTCAGGTCTCTTGCAGACTCAAACAGGTTTTCTTCCAGAATGGTCCTGTATTTGGCCCCATCCATCTTCCCATCAATTCTGACCATCTTCCCTGTCCCTGCTGACGAAAAGCAGGCCCAAACCATGATTCTGCCACCACCATGTTTGACAGTGGGGATGGTGTGTTCAGGGTGATGAGCTGTGTTGCTTTTACGCAAAACATATCGTTTTGCATTGTGGCCAAACAGTTCGATTTTGGTTTCATCTGACCAGAGCACCTTCTTCCACATGCTTGGTGTGTCTCCCAGGTGGCTTGTGGCAAACTATAAATCTTTAAATCTTTTTGTATCCAAATCCAGCTTTAAACTTCTCCACAACAGTATCTCGGACCTGCCTGGTGTGTTCCTTGGTCTTCATGATGCTCTCTGCGCTTTGAACAGAACCCTGAGACTATCACAAAGCAGGCGCATTTATACAGAGACTTGATTACACACAGGTGGATTCTATTGATCATCATCAGTCATTTGGGACAACATTGGATCATTCATAGATCCTCACTGAACTTCTGGAGTGAGTTTGCTGCACTGAAAGTAAAGGGGCTGAATAATATTGCGCGCCCCACTTTTCAGTTTTTTATTTGTTAAAAAAGTTTGACACATCCAATAAATTTCATTCCACTTCACGATTGTGTCCCACTTGTTGTAGATTCTTCACAAAAAATTAAAATTTTATATCTTTATGTTTGAAGCCTGAAATGTGGCAAAAGGTTGAAAAGTTAAAGGGGGCCGAATACTTTCGCAAGGCACTGTAAATAAGACGGCTGGTGTAAAAGTCACGGGTGTCCACAAATTAATATCAGAAACTGTACACAGCTCCTGGTGCAGCTCTGCTCTTGTTGTAGTACAAGAGTCAACCCCAGATGGCGATTCATAGACTTTGGTATCACAAACGGACTTCTGATCCCACAGGACTTCATGATCAGATGCTTTCTCTCTCTGACTCTTGGTCGCTGGTAATCTACTATAGTAAATAACCATTCAACCTACAGAATGAACACAAACTAGTCAAAGCAGAACACATTACCGGTAATCACTGGAGAGAACAGTACTAAACACGTTACCAAAATTATTTAAAAAAATTAAGTTTATTTATATAGCGCAAAGTTACAACAGAAGTCGTATCAGGGCACTGCACAGAAAACATTCACATACATAAAAAGTCAGTTACCGTAATAATGTTTTTTAATCTAAGGAGCCAGCAGATTTTTAAAAAGGAAATCTGATCAATACACATCTATCTTGGGGGTGTGTTCTCATGACTCAATGAAAGTACAGTAAGTACCCCATTGGTCATTAGGATGACTTCTGGTCACATGGCCACAGAGTGGGATTGTGGGTATTTAGTAGGAAAATTGGAACCATGCATGAGAAATACATATGTCATGAGTTCCTGTGGCATTCACTCTGTCACTTAAACATGCCCCCAAGAGGGGTGTGCGTTGGGCAGCCATATGTGTGCCCAGGTGCGTCAAAGGAAAATGTTATTTGGCGTCAGTAAGCTTGGCAACCTGTCAAAATAAAATATAAAAATGTATATATATATATTTTTAAAAGCACTTAAATTAACTGCTCCTGTTTATAAGCTGTGGAATCCAAAGCATGAGAAAAAAAAGTTTCAGCTTGTACACTGGCAATTATGGTAATCAAACACAAATTTTCTTACTTTATGTTCCAAGTTTGTTTAGGGAAGAAACAATGATCAACCAACTTGTTGTTGGAACAAACAACATTCTGCTTTATCTGAAAGCTGCATAACAAGATAAAAGCACTCACATTTCTACTTGTAAACTCTTAAAAATGTTTTTATTTTATTTTATTTGGTTACGTCATATCTTAGGGATTAATCTAAGTACAGGTTTACAGTTTTTTAATATGAAGAATTTCTTTCAGATATATTCATGTAATCTCTAAAATTGCACAACATAAATGTAAAAATAAATGTTAAACTAGCACACAATTCAGAGATACAGAAATTGTACTAGTTTTGTTGCAGCAACAGAAAACAGCAGTACCTTTAAGTGAATGGCAACTGTTTCTTTCTTTTGTTTGTTTCTGTCATTCTTTCCAGCTCATCAAGAATGTAATTCACTTCTTTTACAGTATACATATTTACTCAACATGGGAATACAAGAATTACATGACATGTTCAGACAACCAAAATTATAGATATCCTCTCAAAAGTACTTTTGTTTTCAACTTTCCACAGAATTAAGTTTTTGATCAACTCTTAGCTTTGTGGCGTGTTTTCTTGCGCCTCCATGTGCATGCTTGAGAAAAAGGGTTGGATTAAAAGGATAAAGGTGTGATTCTGACTTTGATTAATTTTCACCAGGTTTTGGATTCACCCAGGGAACCTTTGCTGCCAGGTGTGCCACCCTCCCTCTGACCCAGACCCCTCCCCTAAATATTTTCTGCCACTAGTGTTGCTTCCTGCGCGGCCTGATTATCTCACACCAGCTTCTTTTTAATTCGTTTCTACCTTTTACATTTTTAGCTCCTATTTTCCAGGGTCATTATAATATAAAGTAGTGGTTCCCAACCGTGGTCCTTGAGGAACACCATTCTGCATGTTTTAGTTGTGTCTCTGCTCCAACACATCTGATTCAGTGGTTTAATTCCTCAAGTTCGGCAGAAGCCTATTAATCACCCCTTCATTCCAATCAGGTGTGTTGGAGCAGAGGAACAACTAGAACGAGCAGGGTGGTGTTCCTCAGGGACCAGGGTTGGGAACCTCTGAGATGTTCACACGTGTAATAAAAGTACAAATTAAAAAAAAAATATGTGGGCGTTTGTTTTGTAATGATTGACCACCAGATGTCTCTAGTTGACTGAAAATGATTTTCCAACGTTAAGGAATACTAGTCTTGCAGACACACTTTCTGCTTGTTCTAAAGTTGTGGCCCTGGAATAAGTTAACTTCATCTCTTTGTTTCTGCATTTTATTTTAACCATCTTCTATTTTCAGAACTTGTTCATCTTTTTTCAAACAGCAGGGGTTTGCATTCAAAACTCCAGCATGATCATGTGATTCATTGCATGGCTAGCTTGCGGTTTACGTGGGAGAGTCTTGGCATGGGTTGTGGATGTGATATGTGATAGCTGGAATTAGTCAAATGTACTGCTCGTCCTCTTTATTTGCATTGTACAGTCTATTATTTTGAAAACTTCATTCTTAACATTTTCTTTTCCTTGTTTCAGAGGGAAGAACTGACCGTTCCATAGATGGGGAGAATTGCTGACTTACAGTTGAGCATGGACTTAACTTCTGATTTATTTCCATATTATTATTTTTTAAGAGTTTTGTTTTACATTTGCAAAGCAAGTTAACACATTGTTGATCAAACCTTTCTGACAGCGAGAACTCACTTTGAACAGAGGAGTGATTAAAACATTTATAGTGCCTGAGAGGTCTTTTAGGTTCACTTTAATGAACAGGAATGACTTTTTTGCCTTGGTGAGGATGAGAACGCACTTTATAATAATCTGCTTGACAGTTGTTTTGTTGTGGGCAGGGTGGGAGCAGGGGGTTATTTTACTGACTGGCAAATTTGGACAACTGGGGATTTCTATGTAATCTATTTATAAGATGTGACTTATTTCTTTGCCTTATAATAAAATAAATAAAAATTTCTGTGCTTTTTTTATATATAAACATTTTAGCTGTAAATGAAGGAAGTTTTCTGTAATGTTTAATGCAGTCACCAGCTGCACTACTTAAAATACAACTTTGGAGTTATTAAAGAAGAGTGGGTTTAAAGGGCTTTATAGTTGCAGAATATGCATTTTTAATTTTCATATGCTGTAGTTGTGTAGTATCACAATGTGCAGATTGGAATAAAATTCTAGACCAAGCCCCTAGCAGAACCAGAAGTTTTTTTTTTTTAAATCAACACTTACCTGGGTAAATGACCAAACCTTCACATTTTGTTTTACATTGATCCTAGATTCAATTTTTAATCCTAAACCTGATAGATTTTGCATTTGGTTAAGTGTCACAAAACGAAGTAAACCACATAAAACACTCCTAGCTTTATTCGCTAGTGTTTTTTAATTTTTTTATGCTGATGCAAAGCTGGTTTTCTACGAGTTAGTCGATCATCGGTGAACGATGCGCACCACAGGTGTGGCTATACATGTTGGTGTTCAAGTAATGCAATCTGTACAGTATTTTTTTCTGATAATTATTAATGTGTCCTTACATTAAAAATGTGTAAATTTGACTGGAGGCCAACAACCGAGCGTGTCTGATAACCTACGAAGACAGATGAAGTGCATGTAAAGGTCAAACGGAAAACTTTCCACTCTAGCAGAAGTTTTGCAAAAGCTGTAATTGAATGCCAACATAATGTAATTATGGCGCTCCACCACCCTGCATGAGCCTCGATGTTTTTGCTGCATGTTCACTCATTTATTTCCACCAGACCATTTTCTCTGTGATGTGACCCAATTTGGTTTTGTGTGGATTCAATCTACCGGAATGCTTTCTTCATAGTGAGTGTGTACCTATTTCAGAATTGCATATCAATATATTTGGAAAACTACTGGAGTAAATGCTTTCAAACTACACTGATACAGTTCAATATAGCATTTCTGTTTAATTTTATACTCTGCAAAGAGTCCCTTAGTATCATTCATTCAACCTCTATTTATACAGGTTTGTCTCATTGAGTCATGAGGACTCATTTTCAAGAGAGACCTGTTTTAAACAAAAAGTCAAAGTATAAAATGAAAAGTAAATAAGTGATATAAAACGAAATAAAAACGAGACAACATTAACATAAACGTTAACTCATTACCTATTCGTTTATGTCAAACGTTTACAAACCGCTGTAAATACACGCCGGCTCTGATGTTTGAGACATTTTTCCGCCCTGCAGCGTGCATTATTTTGAAGGCGTGAGCGTGAACAGGAAGTAAAACAAAGCGCACATGTGGCCGCTGGCTCCGCCCCTCCCACACTCTGGTCACGTGACATGGAGCTGGCTGACTCAGCCGGCTCGTTACGCTGCGTCAGTCTGGGAGCGGAACAATTATGAAAAAGCAACCTTCCGTTGGAGCTGAAGCGGATCTCTCCAACGTTCAACGGGCTTTCCTTCCAAGGCTAACCGAGATCACCGCCGATAGATGGATAGAAGCCACGACGCAGCTCTTCCTGAGTCTCAACGGTGAAGAGAATGGTACGTGAGCCCGTTTTCTTTTTGAGGAGGGGGAGAGCTCGTTATGCGTTTGTTCAGTTGGGGCGCGGAGGATTGTAGTGCCTCATCCGGGGGGGGGGGGGGGGGTTAGATTTGTTGAGAGTTGGAGTTCCCCCCTCCACCTCCTCCTCCTTCGTACCTGCCACCTTCCTCATGACAGCCAGCCGCCAGAGATTATTCAAATTTGTTAGCGGTTCATGTCAACAAGAAAGATGTCGCAAGAACTCCCCCCCAGAATTACCCACGTTCAAGCAGTTAGCAGCTAAGTAGCTAGCTCGCTGGCTAACTAGCCGCAGCGGCGCGGGTAGATGGCTGTTTCTACCGGATCTTTCTCCACGGCAAGACGACAAGATGGGCTTTTGTTCTCAACACAGACAGGTACAGACTGATCGTTTAAAACTCCGTAGCTGGGGGGCAGCTGGCACTCGTGTAAGCCACATTTCTTCTGGCTGTCTCGGATGTCGGACAAGACTCGCTGCCATTCCCGAGTCGATGCCAGCTTGAGCGGCTGCCAAGTCTCTGAGTGCTTCTTTATCAAGCTGGCGTCGGGAAAAGTTAACTGGTGTTGAAACAATGATACTTTTAATATGTCAGACTTTAATCAAAGCCTCGTTCCCGTGACTGCTCATTGTGTAGTTAAGGGTTAAACCTTTTTAAAAGGCCTGCAGCAGTTCTTACTAAAGACTTGTTTCAACACTTCACTGTTTGAAGCTGGTAAATATTTGTGTCTTTTGTGCCGAGCTCAGCCTCCTCTTTTACCAACAACTTCACGTTTTGGTTCTCTTTTCCTGCGGAATGAGGAGCTATGTGACTTTAGGAGGAAAAGTTCGACTGTGGCTCCAAAACTGTGAAATAAGCTTGACTTTACATCCAGCTGGCTGTTATTCGTCCATCCATCCATCCATCCATCCTTCTGCTGCTTAGTGGTTGGATCATGGGGTCAACAAGTACAGGAGAGAAACCCAGACATCCCTCTCCTCAGCAACACTTTCCAGCTCTTCCTGGGGGTTCCCAAAGCATCCCTACAGTGAGTTCTGGGTATGTCTCTTCCCAGTGTGGCATTCCTGGAAAATCACACAAAGGAGGTGTCCAGGAGGCGTTCTAAGCAGATGTTCAAACCGCCTCAGCTGATTACTTGTTGTGAAGAAGCAGTGGCTCCGAGTCCCACCCACATGACAGCTCCTCACTTTATCTTACAAGTGAAGCTCATTTTAGCTGCTTGTATCCAGGATCTCATTCTTTCGGTCATGGTTCATACCTCTTGGCCACAAGTGAGGACACAGACAGAGCAGCAAATGGAAAGCTTTGCCTTTTGACTCGAGTCTTTCTTCGCGACCAGCTGAAGCGGACAAGGCCCCGATCTGTCACTCCAGCTCCTGTCGTCTTACCATAACCTGTGTATGAGACTTCCAAATATTTGAACTTCTCTGCTTGAGGGCAAAAACTCCCCCCCGCCGCAACCCCCCCCCCCCCCCCCCCCCCCCCTCATTCCTGAGGAAGCAGTCCACTGTTTCTGGTTGAGAACCACGGCCTCCGAGTTAGAGGAGCTGACCCTTATCCAGGCCGCTTCACACTCTGCTGTAAACCGCCCCAGTGCACACTGAAGGTCTTTGCCTGAAGACGCTATCAAAACCACATCATCTGCAAAAAGCAAAGACGAGACCCTGAGGTTTCCAAACCAGGTACCGTCCTCTCCACGCTGCAGCCTGAGCTCCTGTCCGTGAACACCAAAACCAGGATCATAGATGAGGGACGGCTCTGGTGGCGTCCAGCGCACTCTGAGACTTTGTGTTGAGGTTGAGGACACATCTCTTGCTTTGGTTGTGCACGGACTGGATTGCTCCTAAAAGGATCCTGGCACCCCCTCACAGAATGCCTCTGGGAGCACGGTTATCAGCTTTCTTCAGATCCACAAAACACATGAAGAGTCCAAATTAAACCTTTAATTAGAGTGTTGATTAGTAATGCTTTAGTTACACCTGATTATTAAGGTATTGCTTATCAAATCACTGCACAGTGGCTGTCTTAATACTGGGGCGAAAGTTATAAATAGTAACGTAGGATCCTTTTACAATGTCATAGAACTGTGTTATAAATGATATCTAATCTACCTTTCCACACCACGGTATTGATATGCATTTTCACTCAACATTGTGCTGGTCATATGCCTCAGATTACCACTGCTGTGTTCCGGTCTGAGCGGTCTGACGGTAATGAAATGACAAACTGCTAAGTCATGATTTGTAACTGTTTCACCACTGCGTAGTAGAGATTTGCTTTTAAATTTCAGACTCTTATGTAATTGTGCAGGGTTTAATTTGTCGCCAACGTGGGCACAATGGTCTTGCAAAAACCTCGTGTACGGAAATAGACTTTGGCAGCGCTGCTGTTTGTTGCTCTTGTGCTTGTAGGTCTGATCCTGCAGTGACTGTGGCATGTCTCTTTGAGGTTTATCACGTCAACATTTACACTGCACACACACACATAGACACACACGAGAACAGTTTTAAGAAAGGATCATGCTAGTTTTTTTTTTTTTTTAATTCTTGTGGCTTCCTGTTGTGTTTTTGGAAATGTTTCCTGACATTTTTGATGATTTAATGAATGAAGCTCTTGCCAGCTGGTGCTTCCCCTCAGTCTGCAGCGTTACGGATCCCACTCAGCCTAAAACGCAAAAATAAATTCACATTTTGTGTAACTCTCACACATATATAATTACTGGTAAACGCTTAGCATTTCTTAAAGGATTGTGTGTCGCCCATTACCTTTTCATACCAGAACTGTAGATTAAGATCATCTTGATCATATCGTGTTGAGAAACAAAGATTTTGGTAACCGATGGCCAGAGGGGAAACCATTATCACAACTTTTGTGTTTTGGTGGTGGGCGATAAATAACAACCATGTTCAAACAAAACTGTGCAATCTTCTGCTATTGAAGCTTTTTATTGTGTGAATGTTTATGAAGCAGTTATGTTGTGATCCATTTTTCTTCTGTACGTTTTTCGGCATCTTTCTCGTTCCACAGTTTTTGTGCCATTTCAAAAAAATCTTATCAAAACATTCAGCTTGGTCAGGAGAAGGGCACTATGACTTTTGATATTGACACAACTTTAGCTTTTTGAAATGTTTAGCCTTTTCTACCATATTTTTCTCATAGACCATTAATTGAGCACATTTTACATTCATCAAATCTTTAGATGTGTTTATAACCTTTTACTGTTCCTTTCACATTTTGTTCTGGTTCAGCTAATTTCAGCTGTTTTTTCAGCTATTTTGTGAACATTTTAGATTATTTCTGCTAACAGTATTTTTGTGCTGCTTATAACTTCTTTCTGCTATTTTTAGCTTATTTATACAAGTTTTTGCTTTTTTTGCTAATTCAGCTACTATTTAGCAGTTTTTATGCTAATTTTAGCTTTTTCGGCTAATTCCATATTTGTTGCACTCATTTCAACTTTTTAGATTAATTCAGTAACAATGTGCTCTTAAATTCCTTCTGGTAATTTAACCATCTTTCTGTTTTTTAGCTACTTTTCAGCGTTTTTTTTTTTTTTTTCTCAAATTTCAGCTTTTTTCAGATAATTTCCACTTTAAGTGCTCATTTCTGCTTCTTTCAGCCTTACTGGGCAAACATGTTTGTTCTGCTTTCTTCTGCTAAGTTAAGCGTGTTCTACATTTAAGCTACTTTTTTCTTCGCATTTTTCAGTTAATTTCAGCTGTTTTCAGATAAATTTAAATTTCCATGTTAATTTCTGCTACTTTCTGCTAATTTCAGCCTGTTATGCTCCTTTCAGCTTTATATGCTAGTTTTAGCCTTTTCTGCTTTTTCAGCTACTATTTAGCTCTTTTGATGCTAGTTTTAGCTTTTTCAGCGAATACCACTATTACAGCTCATTTCAGTTCGTTCCGCTGCCTTCTGCTCGTTTAAGCATCTTTTTGCCTTTTCAGCTACTTTTCAGCTTTTTTAGCTAATTTCCAATTTTGTGTGCTCATTTCTGCTTATTTAAACCCAATTCAGCAAATGTTTGTTCTTTCTGCTTTCTTCTGCTAATTTAGTCTTCCATTTCAGCTACATTTCAGAATGTTCATTAGCTAATTTCAGCTGATTTTCAGCAAGTTCTTCTGCAATAAGCATTCAAACTGCATTTTCACAGGAAATGCAATTTCTCTAGTTTTATTAGTTTGCTGATGTATAGACGGATCCAGTCCCTGGTGCTTTATTCTTGTCCATGAGCTCCAGATGTGCAGAATAAAAGCCATCATTTGGTTCGTCATTGTCACTGTAGGTTATCCAGGTGTTTGTAGCGAGGAGACAGGACGGTATGCTAGCACTGATTCATGATGGGCGATCTTTTAAAGCTTTGCCCAAAGGGGCAGAAGTGTGAAAGCTAAAGAGCTGTCACACTTTGGTCTCATGACTCTACAGCACTGTGTGTGCAGCCTTCCCGGAATCTTATCTTTAGGCTATAGTGAACTCGTTCCCCCTATTTAACATTCCTTTATATGCCGAGATTTTCAAACATCCAAGTGGAGGCAGGGATTAAAAACTGATAAGCCTGGTCTTAGTTAAATGTCCTTGTAGTACGAGATATATTTTCTTTAAATGAAGCTTTTATGTAAGGCCAGTTGTAATTCCACTTCCTTGTTATAAAAAAAGATTTTAGGAACTCTTTTTCTTCCTAGAAACGATTGAACAAAGATTTTATAGAGTTTATTGTCCTGAACTGATAGTCTCAGTTTAGTATGAGTCACAGTTCATCATTGTCAGATCAGCTGAGATCTCACTTATACTTTGCACTTGTAGAGAGCGTGTGATTGGATTGAATATTATGTTCTGATAAATGCTAACCTGACTCACTTTGTCAAACTGACCTGTGTGGGAAGATGATGTCAGAAAGTTACGAGCTTGTGCAGAGGGAAGGTCAGGCAATCTAAAAAATAATAAAACTGCAGTAGATGGTATAAACCGTTTTTGTTCAAGTCTGTCCCAGTTGGTCCCAACCCTGGTCCCTGAGGAACACCATCTTGCAAGTTTTAGTTGTTTCCCTGCTCCAGCAGCACATCTGATTCAGTGATTGAATTACTTCATCAAGTTCTGCAGAAGCCTATTGATCATCCATTCATTCAAATCATGTGTCAGGGAAAAAACTAAAACATGCAGGATGGTGTTCCTCAGGGACCAGGGTTGGGAACCTCAGCCTATCATGATTTTTTGATACTGTTTTAATAGAGTTGAGTCAATCAACTTTGTTTTTCTATCATTTTGGTGAGCTCACCTTGTTGTGCTTCAATCTTCTTCTATTGAAGAGGCATATCTACCCTTTTAACATTGTTAATTAAGAATTTAATTTCTTTATTAAATTTATTATGATTTAA